GGGGGGGGGGGGCTCTGCAAGTTACCTAGCTGCTTCTTGCTCCTTGTGGCCCAACTGAGGGTTGCTGGGAGCAGGGGGCGGGGCTTGTTGCATGTGCCCGCCCCCTGGGCTCCTTACTGCCAGAGCTCCACTCCTGTGTGCTCACGCAGGAAATGACCCCTGCTCCTAATGTTATCTCTTATTCCTCAATGAACTCAAGCTAGACTACACAAGGTAAGTTAGTACAATCATAACAAGACGGAGCATCAAATAAACAATGCAAGAGGATCTGAATTGTAGAAATCTGGAACAGAACTGAAGCAAAGCATACGTATATATACAAACCGCTGGAGGGCTTTTGTTCTTGTCTATGTATGTGAAGAGTTCGTACAGAACCACACCAAAGCTCCACATATCTGAGGCCACAGAAAACTTGTTGTCTGTCAGTGATTCTGGAGCATACCTATAATACAAATGGGAGAGAATAGGAGAGAAAATATAGAGACTATTAAAAGCTGCATGGGAATGCATTTATTATATTTCTAAGCAGAAGTAAAGGCATTTCAATCCCCATTCAAAGGGCCAAAACTTTCATGCAAAATTCCCCTGTAGTTTCCCCCATCAATTAGCTTAGATTCAAGCAGCACACAGAAACTTACCAAAATATAGGGCTCTCGCCTGGCTCCTTTACTTTGTAGTACTCTTTGTCTTGAGGCAAAACTTTTGTCAAGCCGAAGTCTCCAATTTTAACTCTGTTCTCGTTCTCCACCAAGATGTTACGAGATGCGAGATCTCTGTGAACATATCTTTTTGTGCCCAGATACTCCATTCCCTGTATATAAACATAGTGTTATGAAATTAAAGTTAACTGACTCAGTGCATAAGAGAGAGGGAAGATACTACAAGCCGTTTAACCTATGTATGAACACAGTTCTGATTTGACTCAGGTTTCCCTGTTCCCCATCGAAGCTGCTTTTGCCTTTAGTAGGGCTTTTTTTGTGGAAAAAGCCCAGCAGGAACTCATTAGCATAATAGGCCATACCCAACAGCAGAAACCCATTAGCATATTAGGCCACACCCCTGACAGCACAGCTCATTAGCCTATTAGGCCACACCCCACATGTTACCAGAAGTGTGGTCATCCAACCACACTCACCTTTTGCTTCTTATTCTGTTTACTTTGTTGTCAAAACACAGGGCTTTTTTTGTAGAAGGCATGATTGCATGTTAGGCCACACACCCCTAATGTAGCCAATCCTAATGAGCGTCTGCTGTTGGGTGTGGCCTATTATGCTAATGAGTTCCTGCTGGGCGTGGCCAACTCAGGAGCCAACCGGAACTCCGTTCCTGTGTGTTCCTGCCCAAAAATAGCCCTGGTTTAGTAACAAAAGCAAAACACAAAAAGGAAAACACACCAACAGGAGATCCTCATGGATCCCCTGAAAGCTGCTTCATACATAGTTTGAACCAAAATGCTCACACAAGAAGCATTTATTAAAATTCTTAGGACAGAAAATAACACTTTGCTGTTAAAACAAAACTATGCACATTTACTTCAGAGTAAGCTTCACTGAATTGAGTTGGACTTGCTTCTAAATAATTATGCTTGTGACTGGGGTGTAACACTGGACTGTCAACTGAGAAAAGCCAGAAAAAAACCTAGCCTGCTTCTATGCCTTTGACTGGGACCTTGATCAGTAGGTAAAGTTTCTCATGCTGTGGAGAAAAGTATCATGACCCATTAATGCTTACAGATCAAGAAAAGAAAACAAACCACACGAAAAGGTATCAAAGCAGCAGCATTCCCAAATTTGGACTACCAATGTCCAAATTATTATAGGTATACTCCAGAATCACTGACAGAAAACAAGTTTTCTGTGGCCTCAGATATGCGGAGCTTTGGTGTGGTTCTGTACGAACTCTTCACATATATAGACAAGAACAATGTTCATATCAACCAAACCACCACTAGATGTCACCACTGGATTTGCTGCTAGGAGATGGGGCCAAGATTATCTGAACAATGCTCTTAACTTTGCTCTATAGATCACCTGATCATATTGTTATACAGCTGGCATTTGACACAGAAAATAGCCCCTCTGATACTCTACGGAAGGTTAAGTTCTGGAAGGTCAGTGGAAGAAGGCTCAGACTCAAGAGCTCCACTCCCCCCCCCCCCCGGTTTCCATTGGTTTATACAACACCTCTATCTCCATTCATATACCCCACGTTGGGAGCTAATGTTCTTTGCCAGTGATAAATATTAGCCTTATTATATTATGTTCCAGAGAGGAACTGAAAGGCTAGCTTCCTGATTGATCTCAATGATAAAACACACTGAAAGATTTATCTTTTCATTAGATCTCTTTCTTTCAAAAATGTGTGACATCCATTTAGAAAAGCAGTAAATGGAACCTTTATTGGAGGCCAAGCAGACTCTTTTATCCTCATTTTGCCCTCCTCTTCATCCCTCCCTCTAACAGATCTATCCCACAGCCATGCCCATAGGGTACATGATCAGGGAGAAGATAGGATGACTGACCAACAGGGCAAAGCCACAGCAAGGTAGTTGCTGCTGGTATCCCCCATATCTTCAGGAACACCAGCTCACCTTTCAAAATGCAAGATGCCTCACCCAGCTGCCTGGGGACGTATTCTTGCTGTTTTGCCAGAAGTAACATGTCCTCAAGATAGACTGATGGTCCCTATGCCCTCTTTGCTAATGTAGGTTCCAAAGGATAGCCCCACCACTTTACTGCCCCAGATCAAAAACTCTTGTTCTTTTTTTGATTTACAAACTAATTCTAGAACGACTTTGGATACCTCTGTCTGACTCAATTCTTTGCATGGCCTCCCTGAGAAATTCTGTTCAGAGACAGGTATCTGCCCAACATTTTCCACAACAAAGACAGAAGCAAAGAATTTATTTCACTTATCCATGATTTCCCTTTCCCCACTAACTAATCCTCTTAGATTTTTGTCATATGTTCCAACAACTTCCCTTGATGTTTTCCTGCTTTCGATGAGTTTAAATAAGTTGTTGTTTGTTCTTCTAGCAATAGGCACCTCAAATTCCTTTCTTGCTTGCCTCACCTTCAATTTCTGTTACCAGAGGTCCCCCCCCATTTTCCCTATTTGAACTAGACTCCCACTTTCTAAAGAAGGCCTGCTTGTCTTTTCTTGCTTCTTTGACTCTATTCATTAATCTTTTTGGTATTCTTCTACCCTTCCTAATTAGCAGCATACACTCCAGCTGAGCTTTTATTATTATGGTTTTAAATAGTCTCCAACTATCATGAAAAGTCCGACCCTCCTTCTCAATTTAATTTTGAACGAATCTCTTTGTCTTTAAAAAGTTGCCTCTTTTGAAGCTAAATACATTTGTGTTTGACGTTCCAGGCAGCTAACTGCTAACATGTAGGTTGAATTTGGAAGCCCCATGTGATGAAGCTATTGCTGATAATGCAGATTAACTCAGGCTTTATACTGTAAACTGTCCTGAAACATGAGAAAAGACGGGGTATAAATGTTTCAATAAATAAATACACACATCCACAGTTCAAAGTGAAAAGCCCTGACAAATACACCTAGTAGCATTAATAACGTATGTAGAATTTATTACCTTGCATATCTGTGAGGCATACTGAAGGAGTTTCTTATGATCCAGTCTGTCTTTATGTTTCTGGATGTAGTCACGCAAACTTCCATAGGGTAAATATTCCATTATCAACTTCAGGTTTCTCCGACCTTTAAAATATATATATATCAAAATTCAAAAACATACTTTTTAATGTTTCCCCAGAGGTATCCAAGGCTTAGATTCAAATTGAGAAATCTTACATTGATCCAGAACTTCTACATGAGGTTCTTTGGAATTCACCTAAAGAAAGACCTAAATCTATATCCCTTAATCCATTTCTGAAATCAAATATAGATACATGGGATAGAAACAGAAGACTCTTGGCCTCTAACATTTCACCTATGGCAGCTTTCCTGGGGCAATGTTGGTTCCCCTCAGGCAAAGAGGTAAATTCATATATGAACTGGAGAGAAATAGGTAAATTTCACACATGCGACCTATGCCACAATGGTCAAATTTGGACATTCTCTCAATTGGAACTTAAATACCTACATCACAACAACAGTCATGGCATAAAGACTGTGAATCCAGACAATATACTACTAAATCATTAAATATTAGACTCCAAAACCACGAACTGTTTACATGGTGGTATACAGGGGTCATTTCATAGAAAAGAGGTGCAGGATCTCATTAGCATAACTCATTAGCGTAACTTATTTGCATATGCCACACTCCCTGACATCACTAGAAGTGTGTCAGAAGGCAACACCCACCGCTTAGGCTCCACTGGACTGTTTTGGATTCCTAGCTATTGGGGGGGGGGAACGTGCAGATCTGTCCTTGCAGAAGAGGGAGAAGCTTGTACCTGAATAAAACTTGGTCTTAAAGGTGCTGCGACTATTTTGAACCAGGGGGGCCGGGGGGGCTCTGCAACTTAACTGGCTGCTTCTTGCTGTGACTGAGGGCTGCTGGGAGCAGGGGGTGTGGCTTGTTGCATGTGCTCGCCCCCTGGGCTCTTTACTGCCAGAGCTCCACTCCTGTGCACTCCTGCAGGAAATGACCCCTAGTGGTATATGACACCGCTAAACTATTCAACTCTAAGTCCTTGAAAGATCCATTATTGGCCAACCAATTCTGAACACTCCAGAATCTATTCTGTTCAACTATTGGGACAATAATTTATTTACCTCCTATAAAGCTGAACTTGTCTCTTTAATGTTAATTGCAGCAAAAACGTTAATAGCAAAACTGTGGAAAACAGAAAAGACCCCAACTCTTAAACAATGGTTTTCAAAACTACGGGACATCATCTGCCGGGTGAAATTGTCGTTAAGTTTCTCCGAAGACAGATGAGGGATGATATCCTTAATGCAACAGCAGCTAATCCCCTGCAGCTGGGAACTGCAACTATCAGAGTCTTAAAAGATGTTCCATTCGAGGTTCATGAGAAAAGAAAAGCCTACAAAGAGCTGATTTCAACATTGCAGATCAATCAAATTCCATATTCTTGGAATATATCTAATAGCCAAGTTGCCCCCGGAGTGCGGATCGCTAAATCAGCGCTCCGGGGGCACTTGGGGGGGAGGGGAGGTTTGTGCACACGTGGGCCAGTCCCCACGTGTGCACAAAAATGCTAAAAGTAGAAAAAAAATCGGGGGGGATGTTTAAATCCCCCCGAAGGTGCAAGAGCGTTCCATGCGCATGCGCACGGAATGCTCTGTAGCTGACCTCGCCGCCGCCTCCTCCTCTGAGCCAGCCGGCCGGGCGGGGGGAGGACCGGCCTCGCCGCCGCTGAGCCCGGCAAAGGGGGAGAAGGGGGGGGGATGGAGGAGACGGAGCTCTTCTCCCCCCCCCGCAAGTATCGCGGGTCCCCGTCTTGTATTCTTGGAATTTCCTGGAGGGTGTCGTGTTTAAATACAGAGACAAAAGGGAAAAAATTGACTCGTTTTTTAAAGCAGAAGAATGGTTGAAGCGGTTTTTCGGATCGAAGGAGGAAGAACAGCAAGAAGGAGAGGGCGGAGCAGTCATCATAGAAGACAGGGACGACGACCAAGGAGCAACAGGTGGCGAGGCCAAAGAGACATATGATTTGCGGCTTAGAAGACCAAAGTAACTCTTTGGAGACTTGAAATTTGCAAACAGAGATGAAGATGAAAGAACTCTTTGCACACACAGAAGATGACGGAGAAGACACTAACATGGACTTACTAATTTCCGAATACATTGACTTAAACGAAAAACTCTTTAATTTTGAATACTAACAGAATACTAACTGTTAACAACCCTCTCTCTTGGGATTTTAGTCATAGTGTGGGTTTTTATTTGCTGTCCTTTATCCTGGGGTAACTTTTCCCTCCCCTTTTTTCTTTTCTGTAATGTTTAGGTGTAACAAAAAAATAATAAAGCTACCCTGCTTGCAGGGGATTAAAAAAAACAACAAAAAACTATGGGACATCATAGTAATCGATAAATTAGCTTTTCAACTGCTAAATGCAGAAAACCCTTCAAAAAACTCCTGCTTTGAGGAAAAATGGTTTCCATTCTTCACTTATGTTACAATGGTTGAAAATGATGTTTATGCCTTACCTACTAGATATGCAGACTTTGTGTTTTATTAATTTGTTTATGAAATGTTATAATTCTGTTTGTTGTTACATTCATTGTTGTATTCTGGTTGAAATCTGTATTTAATCTTCACAGTTCGTTGTAATTTTGTCAGTTTAAAAATAAAAAATATAAGGTTTAAAAATATTTTTTAAAAGTGTCAAACACACACTTTAAATATTTTAAAAAGAAAATATTGAAAAGTTATGATATGTAGTGATTCCTTCACATAAAAGCTTTGAAATTCTTCTACAGAGCAGCAACAAAGCCAAAACTGGCATGATTATTATTAATTTATGGTGAATATTCTACTGCTGTATTTCAACAAATTCTCAAGATCTATCAGTTTGCCATTTGGCCAGTAAGCACATATCTTGAATCATTCCAACAATGAGGTCAGTAGGGCCAGAGGCATTTCATGTTCCTAGGTTAACACAAGCAACACTAACAGTACAATCTTATGAAGATCTACTGTGCAACTTTACTTACCTACTATTGGTTTCAATAGGCTTAGACTAGTGTAACCTTGTGTGGGATTGCACTGCGAGTGTGTTGAGTACCATCAAGTCACTTCTGACTTAGGGTGACCCTAGGAATTAATGACCTCCAAAACATCCTATCATGAATGGCCTTGTTCAGGTCCTGCAGACTGAAGGCCGTGGCTTCCTTGACTGAGTCAATCCATCATAGGTTGGGTCTTCCTCATTTCTTGCTGCCTTCAACTATTCCTAGCATTACTGTCTTTTCCAGTGAGACTTGTCTTTTCATGAAGTGACCAAAGCATGATAAGCTCAGTTTAGTCATTTTAGCTTCTAGGGAGAATTCAGGCTTGATTTAATATAGAACCCAAGTGTTTTTTGGCGGACTGTGGTCTCAGTAAAACTTTCCTCCAACATATTTGAAATGAATCAATTTTCTTCCAGTCAGCTTTCTTCACTGTCTGACTTTCACATCTATACATAGTAAAGGGGAATACCATAGTATGAATTATTCTGATCTTGGTCTCCAGCAATACTTCCTTGAACTTAAGGATCTTTTTTCATGGCTGCCCTTCCAAGTCTCTGTCTCCTGGTTTCTTGGTTGCTGTCTCCCTTTCGATGGAGCCAAGAAATAGAAACTCTTTAACAATTTCAATGTCTTCATTGTCAACCTTAAAAGTGTGTAATTTCTCAGTAGTCATTACTGTTGTCTTCTTAGTGTTCAACTGTAATCCTTCTTTGACATTTGTCCTTTGATTGTCATCAGTAGCCATTTCAAGTCTTTACTGTATTCTGCCAGTCATCTGCTTATCTCAAACTGTTAATGTTCCTTCCACTTATGTACTTTTAGACTATCTGCCCATCCCTTGGAGGCGAACCAACAGTCAACGAAAATAGACTCTCCATGCCCTTACTACAGTTGAAAGATTCATATTACAGCATCGGAGAGATAAATGCCCACCTCTGGTAACTCAGTGGATTGAGGGCCTTAGAACTCATAGCATCCAGACAACAATTGTGTTTCTTTTTTAAAAAATTATATTTAGTTGCTGGATATTGAGTTTTTCCCTTCTTATACTTCTTTTGGTGTTTTTGAAATAAATAAAAAATATTTCCACCAATTTTCACTCCACTTTCATGTAAATCTAATCCAGTTTTCCTCATATTCTGCCTACAGATTGAACATATAGGGAGATAATATACATCCTTGTCTGACATCTTTGCTAACTGGAAACTATTCTGTTTTTCCGTATTCTGTCCTAACAGTAGGCCTCTTGTCCAGAGTACAGGCTGTGCATCAAAACAATAAGATGCTGTGGCACACTCATTTCTTTTAGAACAATCCATACCTTTGATCCACACAGGTGAAAGCTTTGCTGTAATCTATAAAACACGAACATTTTCTTCTGAAATTCTCTGGTATGCCCTAGTAACCAACAAAAATTCACAATATGACCTCTAGTGCCATATATGGTAACTTCTGTCAAAAATTAATGTGATGGTCCGATAGTCGCTGCCATCTTTAGTGGCCACTTTTTTCGGAATTGGACTGTAGGATTGAGTGTTTGCAATCTCTGCTTCTGGTGATCTGTTTCACCCAATTGCTTTGAGTGCAGCTTTCACTTCACTTTCTAAAACTGCAGATTCTTCATCAAAAGATTCTTCTGCCCTAGTAACCAACGTAAATTCACAATATGACCTCTAGTGCCATATATGGTAACAGTCTTTATTGTAAAGCTTTGAGCATCACTTTACTTGTGTCAAAAAATAATGTGATGGTCCGATAGTCACTGCCATCTTTGCTGTCCACTTCTTTCAGAATTGGACTGTAGGGTTGAGTGTTTGCAATCTCTGCTTCTGGTGATCTGTTTCACCCAATTGCTTTGAGTGCAGCTTTCACTTCACTTTTTAAAACTGCAGTTTCTTCATCAAAAGATTCTTCTTTGATGGAATCTGTCATCTTACAACAGTTGAATCCCATGTACAAGTTTTCCAGTCTAAGCCCATTATGCCTGAATGACTTTTATTACATTTCATGAGCATTTCTATTAACATAAAGGCAGGGCTATTTTTGGGCAGGAACACACAGGAACGGAGTTCCGGCTGGCTTCAGAGCTGGCCACGCCCACTACAGCCAAAACCTCTGCGTGCGTGGCTACAGAGGGAAGGCCTGGAGAGCGACCCCTCCCGGTGACTCCGAGGCGGGCGGCTCAGGGGGTCCCCTGGAAGGATTGGGGAGGCATTTCAATGCCTCCCTGTGCCTTCCCAGCCACGGGGCGCCCAGGCAAGCCAAGGGAAGGCATGGGGTGTGGCCTAATATGTTAATAAGATGTGCTGTCAGGGATGTGGCCTAATATGCTAATGAGTTTCTGCTGTTGGGTGTGGCCTATTATGCTAATCAGTCGAGCATTTCTATTAACATAAAGGATTGCAGTAGCTTGATCAGATGGTTTTACTTCTAGCATTTACTTCTAGTTTCAGAGGAAGGCAAAATAAACTTCAGTCTTAATAATGCACTTTTCAAGAAAATGTGAATGCATGCTAAAGGGAAGCTCTTTTTTTGACTTTCATTATGCAATCAGCCACTAAAAGGAGATAGGTAAGTACAGCCTATTCCCCTAAAGCTGCTTGAGTGACACATTTTTAGTAGAAAAGGCAGGACATGTTTTCTAAACATAATGACAGACATTTCTAGCTGAACATTGGCCAGGATTAGGGGAAAGGCAAACAAACTACTTAAATTCTGTATGCTCCAGAAACAAAGCGACTGAAAGGTGAAGGAATAGGCAAGAAATAGCACATTAATTTCTCCCCAGTCTGGATTTTAATTATATAGGAGGAAAGGTGAAGAAAACGTTATACTTGTCATGGGCCAGCTTCACCAGCCTGAGTCCAGTGTGGCTGAAGACTCCTCAGGAGTTGAGGAGCCACATGCAGCCAGCTCTGAACCAGCTAAAGTTAGTGAATTAGAGATACAGGAACCTCAAGATTCATTGCCAGCAGCTGACCTTGACCCACCCAGCTCTGAAGTAGCTGACAAAGCACAACTGCAGGAAAGTAGCCCACCAGGCTCCCCTTCCTTAATTGACCAGTGAAGGGGAAAGCTCCAGCAAGACTTAAGGACACGCAAAGTGCTTGCTTCTTGGCTCAGCACCAGCTGCTTAATGATAACAGTTCTGAGTAAGTGCAGGAGCACTTCCAAGCAGACGGCTGTAAATCAGGCTTGATAAGGAATGCCTATATAAATCAGATCTGAAGAACTGCAGATTGTGGAAGCAACTAGGGGTGTGCATTCGGTTATAGCCAAACACAGATCCAGACATTGGGGAGGGAAAGAAACGTGCCTGGGTTCCCTGCCTGCCCTTCGCCAGCTAGGACACCTCAGCTAGAGAAGGGAAGGCAGAGAGAGGCTTTCCCTTGTCAACTTCACTCTCAGCTAATTAGTGGAAAGTACAATTGACAGGGAAATCTGTAGGGGCTACCAAGGGGAAAGAAGGCATTTTAACATGCCTCCTTTCCCTCTAGTGGTGTAAATCAGCCCTGAACATATTCAGCAATACCGAATATTTCCCCAATCTGAATACCTTACCAGTATTGGACTGGGGAAATTCAGCACTTACTGATATTTTTTGGGTCTGATTTACTTTCCGGCTTTTTTTTTTTTTTGCACACCCCTAGAAGCAACTTATCACAACCCTGGACACTGCCTGTCTCCTTGACCCTTGACTCTGCTTTTTGGATTTGTCTGAACCTTGCTGTCCAACGACCTTGAACTGCCTTGACTCTGCTTTCGTAAAGAACCTATGAACTCTGACTACTGCTAAACTGGTATGACCCCTGGACGGGACTCTTGACTGTAATCTAGCTCTGTTGCCTTACTCTGCCTGTATTCCAGAACAATACTGTAGTTAGTTCCACTGATCCTCTCCCACATTTGTAATACTCAGAGCTGTGACGATACTGCCATGTGCAACAATCCCAAAAATGCAGTTTAAAAAAAATCACCCTTTGTCTTAAAAGACTGTATCAAAAGAAAAAGACCTCATGCAGATCTCCTCCCTTTCTATAGCCCCCTGAAAAGTGCTCTTGAGAGTAGGGGCCACTAGGAATGGCATAGGCTGCAGTGTGTGTGTGGGGTCTACAGTGGAAGAGGAAACATTTAGAAACATTTAGAAATTACTCCCCACTTTTGTATTTCCACTGGTAGGAAAGAGTAGTTTGGATCCAACCCATTAGAAGAGTACATACGGTTGTTTTCCTTTACTTTGAACACGTCCATTGATTTCAAGCTATGACAAATTTGTGATGCTATTGGTAGTAGATTAGTAACTAAAATACATATTTAAATCAAATGGGGGGCAAGGGGGAGAAAGAGAGAGTGAAAAAGTGCACCAGTGTGGTGTAGCAGTTAGAGGGGTAGCCTAGGATCTGGAAGACCCACATTTGAATCCCCTCTCCACTGTGGAAGCTTGCTGGGTGACCTTGGACCAGTCACACACTCTCAGCCTAAACTACCTCACAGTGTTGTTGTGAAGGGGAGGAGAATGATGTATGCCACTTTGGGTCCCCACTGAGGAGAAAGGCGTAGTATAAATGAAGCAAAAAATAATGATTTGGTTAATTGCTTTGGGAATTATATAGACAAATTTCACAGACTTTCACTATGATAACACTCATTTTTTAAAAAATCACAGTGGAAGACTGTGAAATTTAAAATTGTATACCAACTGTAATACAGGAAATGTCTGCCTCTAATGTTCTACATTTAATGATTCATGCTGACAGGGAGCAATTCACAAATTATGAAAAGACTCTATAAATAATATTAACCAAGGACAGCTATTAAACATGCAGCTTACCAGCGCTGTAACAGACTCCTTTGTACTTGACAATGTTGTCATGTTGTAAGGATTTGAGAATTTCGATTTCTCTTTCAAAGTCCCGCAAATGTTCTTCTGTGCTGTGCTGCAGCTTTTTAACAGCCACCACTTCCCCTGTATTGTCCTGCAGTGGGTCATATCGGCACATCTCCACACTGCCAAAATTACCCTGCAAAACAAATTAACAGACCTATCCACCAAGTACATACAGCAGCACACCTGACAGGTTGTTTTCCTAGAACCAGTGATCAACTACTAGGCCTGCATTATTGCAGCCATTCAAGCAAACACAGTCCATTCAACCTCCTGTTTCTGCAGTTCTGGACAGGAGCCTGCATAGCCCATAGGAACACAATGTATATTTAAGTGCAGGGAAAGCAAAATGCACATTAAAAACAGAGCCAGGAAAGCAACAGGCACTGAAATGCAAACACACTCTAAGCCATGCAAGCCAAAGGCTCACAATAAAAAGAAAAGATTCTGGCACAGCAGACTCAGGGAAGGTTTCGAGCTCCCAGGGCTGTAGACTAGGCAGATCAGAAGATGCAGTGATGGTAAGATGCACAACATGTGCTAAATTATCAGCATTAGAACAGGCAAATTAAAAGCCCACATCACATTCTTCCCATTAAGTCATCTCTTCCCAAATCTCACTATGATGATGAGCCAGTTATGCACGCAGGTATCTCATCCCCATGGACTCAACATGGACCAGTCTGGGGGTTTTGTCCATAGGGCACTGTCTGGGTTGCTAGGCATTCCTCCCATGGCATTCCTCCCATCTCCCAATCACTGTACTAAGGAGGTGATACAGTAAAGAACAGTAGCAACATCAAACAGAAATAAATGTACAAACTGTTAATTACTTTAAAATTATGAACACGTACGTAGCTTTACAGTGTACCTAGCCCCAATAGCCTTTAGAGCCGCATGCCTCTGCAAGGCTGCACATCTAAGCTTCCTACCTTGCCAAGCTGTTGTAAGAACTTGAGGTGTCTCTCTTCAAAATGGGTTGGGTCCCTGCTTTCGAAAGCACCAGAAAATCCAAGTGCGCCAGTTCTCATATTTGGCAACATGTCATTTTCTGTCAATAGTTCATAATCTTGGGGGAAACACAAGAAAGAAGAAAAAAAAGAAAAAAATACTGTTCAGCCAAGTTCTCCATAATATCCAATCAAATAATTGATGGCTAACAGCAGACAGCTCATTTTGCTCTCACCATCAAAAGAAATGATTTTATTGGGGGGGGGGGAGAGAAATGATCGCATAAATGCAATATATTCTAGCTTTCCGTCATACTGTTGTTAAGTTATTCCTGAACAGCAACCCAGTGCATTCTGGAAGTCCCGTTACAAGGCTGCTTTACTTATTATGTTTATGAACACATACAGAATTTGAGATAATAATGTAATTTATTCATACAACAAAGATGTGCTTGCAAAAGTGCTTGTGTCACTTAACAAGTAAATGGGCTGAGGAGACAGAGCTGGCATATAGCCGAATTAAAACAATTAGAAGGGGGAGTCTTGGTGGCACTGCCACTGTAGTTTAAGGTCTACAAATCTGCCATCTGAATTTTCTTTGCATGAATGGGAAGCACACCCCGCTCAATCATCATAAACTAGTGAGACCCTTTAAAATGTTGGGCAAAGCAATGGAATAAATACAGGTATTAGGAAATGTCATTAGGAAAGGCAAAAACCCCCTCCAGGATCCCTGGCCAAACTAGCTTGGAGAGAATTGCTTCCTAACCCTGAAGTGGCAATCGCCATTTCCATGGGTGTGTAAGAAGAACTAAGAACTGACCCTTCCTGCCATCCCTCTCATGATTCAAAGTATGGGCTCTTAGCTTACTGCTACACCAGCTCTCTGACTAGGCAATCAGGGTGAATGGCTACTAAATGACACCTCCTCCCTGGCGACCCTTTGTCTAGATAACACAGAATGCATTTTTATATCAAACTGAGAGACAGCCATCTAAACCCTATTAAGAACATAAGAACATAAGAGAAAGAGACAGCCATCTAAACCCTATTACCTCTTCTCTGCTAACATACCTGGAGTGAACAAACTGTTCAGGTCACGTATAATTGCTCTGAATGAAGGCCTGAAGTCTGGCTCATAATCCATACAGTTATTTATTAGATTGGCCAGTTCTGTCCAATTTGGAGCAGGAAGCTGGTGTCGGTCTTCATAAAACTGCAGTTTCTAGAATTCAAGATGGTATAAGGATTATTAAAAAATAGTTTTAAAACAAATTATGAACAGCTTTGGAACAACATACAATATGCTTTCAGCAACGGGGTGGGTGAGGGATTTTGTTGAGCTTTTGACGGCGACACTGCAAGCAACACGTAGGGCACAGCAGGGGATGCTCTGCCTGTTCTCCAAACCACTTCAATCTGAGTTTTCCAGGAAAAGTTCTCACAAGTCAAAGAGGCCTAACATAGAAGCTCTTCAACAATACTGTAAAAAAAAACATATATAGGGCAGAAGAGCCTCCTGCACTGGAGAAGACTGCTTGCACTGAAGGGAAGTGCCACTGTTAGAAGAACAGATTTGTGGGATCCAAACTACTGAAAACTTTGAACAAATCCCAGTTCAGCCTCTTCCCACTGGAGTCCCCCTCTGAAGGTTTTTTGTCGAAGAATTGTAACTTTCAGGTCATAAACAGAATGTTCCAGTAGGCTGAGAGGTTCTCCCACTAGTTTCTGAATACTGTGATTTTTTTAATGCCAGATTTGTGTCCATTTACTCTTTGAAGTAGGGACTCACTGTTTCTCCTATATAGAGATCAAAAACACACTGCAGACACATGAACTTGGAGGATGAGGCCAAGGTGGTACAGCTGATGTTATTAGGTCCTGTAGCGGTATTGCCTCAGTGTGTCTGGAGAGAAAGCTGGCATCTTGTTTGCTGCAGGGTCTGGTCCCTAAGTTAATGTCTCAGTTAAGTGGTCCATTTTTGTTGGTTAGAAGCTGTCTTAGATTAGCAGGCTGTCTGCAAGCAAGGAAAAGCTGGCACCCAAGAGCAGTGAAAGATGGATCAGAGTTAACTGATCATGCACTGGACTGGGCTGAGCTGCAGGTGACAACAAGTAGTGTTCTGTGATCTATTTGGGGCCTGTCTTGTAAAAGGTTATTTCTGGGTACCAGTCCGTTTTATTGATTCATTATTTCACTTCACTGGGTGGATACTGTAACTCCAAGACTGCCTGCTGTAAGTCTTCCAGGTATGAGGCCACATCCAAGGTACAAAAATAAATACTGTTGTAAACTAGTGCTTGGCTATAAGATAATGCACTGCTCAAGATGGTAATGGTTTGGGGGGTTAACAGACCTGTGGTGTGGGCTGGTCTACGCTCAGATTGATAGTGTGGTGAAAGTTGCTGAAGTGTTGTTGAAGAGTTGCCCAAGTGTTGCTAAAGAGTTGTTGAAGTTCTGGTGGAATCTTGAGAGCATCCCACCCGTATGTCCAGAGTTATTGATAAACTTTAAGTACAGGAGGTTTTAGTGGGTAGGAGCTGAGGAAGTACTGCTCCAAGTCAGCCATGAATAGGTTAGTGTACGGTGGAGACACATGGGTACCCACAATTGTGCCTGAAGGTACAAGCTGCTACCAAAACCGGAGAAATCACAGGTGAGGGACAAGAGCCAAAGTTCAGCAGATCTGAATGTTACATAATTAAAGGTAAAGGTTCCCTTGCTCGAAAGCCAGTCGAATCCGACTCTAGGGTTGCGGTGCTCATCTCCGTTACAAAGCCGAAGAGCCAGCGCTGTCCGAAGACGTTTCCGTGGTCATGTGGCCGGCATGACTAAACACCAAGGCGCACGGAACGCTGTTACCTTCCCACCGAAGTGGTCCCTATTTATCTACTTGCAATTTCTTGCTTTCGAACTGCTAGGTTGGCAGGAGCTGGAACTAGAGACAGGAGCTCACCCCGTCTTGCAGCACCCGGGTCTTGAACTGCTGAACTACTGACCTTCCACAGCCTGCAGTTCAGCGTCTTAACCACTTGAGCCACCGCAGCTCCGGTCAGTTTGCCTTAGCAAAGGACAATTTGTTGTCTGGGAATATCTCGAAAGTAGGCAAGGGGGGATCCTCAATATTGCCTGATGAGGGCTGAGCATATTTATTGCACTAAGAGACATCAAATATTGAGGGCAGCTGAATATCTATTCGGAAGGTAGTGGAACAGGGTGACCTGCAGGCAAGATAGGATTTTCTGTGTACTGTGAGGGGATTCCCAGGTAGGCAGAAAAATATTATTTTTAAACTGGGGAAAAACTGAAATGGCCTGATGAGGGGTAAGCATGCTCATTCTTCTAGAAGACATGGAATGTTGAGGGCAGTTAAATATTGAGGGCAATTAAAATTGACACTAAACCGCCTTCAACATTTCTTGTTTTCTGGAGGAGAGAGGAGAGGAAATTGGCTCATTCAAGCCCTTGAATGCCGATTCTATGCTGGAGGGGTAGATCCCTTGGCCCTGCTGACATAAAAGGAATGCAAAGTAAGGATCCACTCAGTGTCTGATAGGGGTATGCAAAAAACAAAAACAAAAAAACCCCCAACCTCAGTATTTTTGGGGTTCATATAAGCCCGAAAAATATCGGTATTTTCCGATATTCCTGAATCCCAATAAACAGTATCATATTCGGGAAATATTCAGGAAACCCGAATTTCTTTTTGCTCCATTATACCCTATGGGGACCATTCAAAATAATGGTCCCCATAGGATATAACGGAGAATCGATCCGGGAGTATCTGTGGCTCCGGGGGCCCTGTTTTTTGAGGCAGAAGCACCAAATTTGCAGCATAGCTGTGGGTGCCTCTCTCCTCAAACCCCAAGTCTTAAAAAGACTGGACAAGGAAGTCCAATTCTATGGGCCCCCAAAGAAGATGCCCCCATCCTCCACTGAAATCTGGAGGAAAAGAGGCATTTAAAGGGATCATAGTCCCTTTAAATGCCTTCTCCAAACCATGCAACTCTACAGCTTGGAGAACTCCAAATGCATTTAAAGGGCTCACAGTCCCTTTAAATGCCTTCCAGGTGAATTTGCCAGCCCAGGATCGGTTGGGATAGCGGGAGCTCAGAGTTCCATGCAACCTTGGCTGGGGCTGGCTGGCTCCTCTTGCAGCAAGGCTTCAACCGAGCTGCAAGAGGAGCCAGCAAAGGATTGGCCAGGAAGGCAGAGCAAGAGGAGCCAGCCAGCCTCAGCCAAGGCAGTGCACAGATCTCAGCTCTGGTTTCAACCGAGCTGCAAGAGGAGCCAGCAAAGGATTGGCCAGGAAGGCAGAGCAAGAGGAGCCAGCCAGCCTCAGCCAAGGCAGTGCACAGATCTCAGCTCTTGTCACCCCAGCTAATCCTAGGCTGGCAAGTTCACCAAGAAGCTGTTTAAAGGGACTGCAAGACCTTTAAATGCCTTTGGAGTTCTCCAAGCCATAGAGTTGCTCAGAGCTCCCTGCAACCCCCGCCGCTCCTGGGCTGGCTCCTCTTGCAGCTCAGTTTAGGAGCCAGCCATCCCCAGCCAAGGTGGTGCCACCCCAGCTGATCCTGGGTGACAGGGTATGACCTTTTGTGAGTCAGTGTTCTGATACCTGAAGAAGTGAGCACTGACTCACGAAAGCTCATACACTGCCACAAATGTTGTTAGTCTTTAAGGAGCTACTGGTCTCTTGCAACTTGCTACACCTTCACCAAACTGCAGCTTCCGTGGTTTTGTTTAATTTTTTTCTGAAATACAAATACAAAAGAAAAAAAGCTGCTCTGTAATGAAAAACATGGGAACTTGTTAAGTGGCTCCAGTTGCGTCTGATTGGGAAAGTGCAAGAAGGAGTGCAATATTACACCTCTAGCAGGCCAAGAATTCTTTCCATAAAATTAAACCTGGTGAAGGTCAGAAGCAAATAAAGAAACTGCAAATGGATGCTATTGCATTCGTAACATCACCGCAAATACTGCAAGATCAACATGTTAAACACTTTGCTCTTACTCTCTGAGAATCCAGTGCACTAAGAGGCTTGTCTCCCCCGCTGCAAATCTCCCACAGAGTGGTCCCAAAGCTCCATTTGTCTGTAGCCAAACTCAGCTGCTTGGGGTTTTCAATGCATTCAGGTGGAACCCAGGGTATTCTCTCAAGAAGAACTAGGTAATCGGGCAGACAAATAAGGTTACTCATTACTGAAATAATTTCTTTACTACTGTATTTTTTAATCCACCTTAAGTCTCCGTGACCAAGGCGAGCTATCTAAATACTTTTAAGTGACAAAAAAATAATTGCTGGCCTACAGAAAGCAATTTACAAAAGCTCACATATAGAATAGCGCTAAGTATACAGAGGCTTTCAATTCTATTTTGCTAGGGAAAATGTTCTGCAGATACACAAGGACACTCCTCATTACATCCAGAAAAAATTCTTCTGATTATAGCAAATAATAGAGAATCGCCTTGAGCATGGAGTGGACTGCATTGGATTATAACCAAAGTATTGATTCTGTGTTGTTGCTTCTTCCAAGTGAATCTCATTAAATCTAAAAAGAAAGTCGTGTATTAGGAGACTGCAAACGTAACATTTCCAGGAGCCTTAGTGCCTGGGATAGACTGTTTTTCAAAACCATTCCAAATATTTCATGTTGAAAACTGTCTGTCTTCTACTGCATTCTCTTCTCCATTCTCTGCCATAAGGACATTTGTTCAGCACATAAGAAGCTATCTCACTTTAATGCATTTATCTTGAAGTTGTGCTTTTAAGACTGAAGGGAGAATTAAAGTAGCCCAGTTTTAATGCAAGGTTTTAGAATCTGCCATCTATACCTTCTGATTTGTGTAGACTGTTAAAATTTTTAAAAAGGAGGCAAAGAAGAAAGGTGTGTTGTCTTGATTAAAAGTCTATATGTTATTGGAAATCTCAGTCCTGGGAAATCAACAGAAATATTGTAGGTGAATAGAGACCAGATTTTACCTTGTATAACTAAAGGTCTCAAAGCGTGCCTTCCTAATGTGACAAATATATTTTGAGTGTTGGACTTGGATCATCTTAAAGCCCTTGGCAAATCTCTCTCTCTCTTGTGATACTATTGCTGCTGTCTGCTGTCCAATTCTTCCAACATGCATAGGCTTAGATAATCTATTTGGAACTTTAGTTCAATTTCCAGTACTTATCTTAGAAAATGTTGATGCTCTAAAAATTAAGTACATGAGTTCATGCTACCTAGCTTATTTTATTATTTATTTTAGGGCTTCCAAAACAGTGCAGCTGACTGGAATGAAATATCAGAACAATAAGAGAATGCAGATAATCACATAGTGACATTTTCAAGGCAGCAAGTTAACCACTGAAATGGCAGAATCAGAGACTTACTGTCTTTCGGCAACACTGTAATGCTGATACCAGGATCACTAAGCTTGATAAAAGGAAGGTTCCCCGACTTCCTATCTTCTTCTCTGATAAGCAAAATATTTTTTGCACATACGTTTCCATGAACAAGGTTCTTATCTTCCTGATAAAAACAAATAGTTTTATTTAGGTTTCCCCCCCCTCCAACACAAATCATTTGCCAATTCAAGCCTCTGTAACACTATAAAAATATCAGACACTAAAGCATGAAAGAGTTTCTTCTTCTAGTAGAAATAAATGCAGTCAGGACCACAGCCTAAATCCCGGCTATAAATGAGAACTCTGTAGCTGGGAAGTCAGAGGCCTCCACTGTGCATACTGAGCAAACAGGGTCTGCCTACTGTTTGCAGTATCAGGAGCACTCTGCATACTCCATCCACACATGAAGTATCAGCCTCTACTCCTATGGAGCAATGCCTTGCTTCTGTGTTGAAGTCCCACAGTTATGGGCTACAGATAGAATGCATGCTCATGGATAAATCGGTTTACAATTGGTAGATAATTTACATTGTATGCATTCACCACAGATGAAGTTCAAATCTTGGATATCTTTGTATTTTTAAATATGACAAAAATAAAGTATCCCCACAAACAAAAAACAACAGACATTTCCTACACATGTTCAACAGCAACATTAATATTGTCTCTGCATACCACAAGATATCAGATAAGTATTTCCTGTTCTGAAAATCAGGTGTTTATTAAAATGGTCTACATTCTTTACTATAAGAAAGCCACTTACAGGAGTGGGAGTGGGGGGCACCCACAAAAAACAACTCAGGCTTTTTGCTTTGGAATTACACAAAGACAGTAAGTGACTTACCAGAAAGTGCATGGCCATTGCTAGCTGCTTGGCAACTTCCAGTTTCCACAAGATGGTTATAGAATTTTTATTTTTCTTCAAATAAGTGTCCAATGATCCAAACTTTACAAACTCCTGCACAAGAATATCTGATTTAAAGGGGGGAGAGAGAAAAAATCCAAGGCATCAGTGCTTTCTAGCTACCACACTTCAAAAATAATTACAATACTTGATTCAAGATTGTGCTACATTTGAAGGGGGAAAAACACTGGCTATTTTTCTTGTACTCTTGTGTGCATTTCCAATTATGCATCAGACTTTGTTTTTAAATGAAGCAGACCAGAGATTGTAGGACTACATTCTGTTCTTTATTTCTATGCTAACATTTAAAAAAAAAAATTTTATTGGTATATTAAGAACAGTATATATACACATAATATATATTTCATGTAACATTACTCGGTACAGTACTACCTATGGTTATGAAATCACACTATGTTCCCCTCCATAAGTTAGTGTTTATAGTCGAAGTAATAGTTGTTTTGAGTATGAGTGCAGAGTGTGAACCTATTCGTATATCCGATTGTTTAGTATATCTCACAGGTGTAACCACTCAGGGTATGCAGTGTTACTTGGGAGTATACCTCCCCTTGACATATAAACTGTATGGACAAGTTAAAAAAGTAACATAACGAAGCACAGATTCCAATATACTCTTTGCACTATACAATGTCAATACATCAATGTACATTGTGAATTTTTGGTTACTTAAAATCCTGAATTTAAAAAAAGGTAATAATGCCAAACTGTTCTCAGAATCATGTTCTCTGAAAGCATTAATTGTCTTTCCTGTGCTTTAAGAAGTTCATCAGAATATCAGTTAGCAGTTGGTAACAAGACTGACTGACAAACCAGTCTAGAGTGTGACAAAAGGCAATTTATTTAGCACTATCATAGAACTCATATCAGGCAAAAGAATAACCCATCTATACTTATTCTTCTAGGTAGGAAGGAAGTCTGCAGCTACAGCTGTAATTTTTTGTAGTTTCCCTTTCCTCGTGAATATGGGGCGGCTGGCTGGAGCAAAAAGGCACCCCCACCACCACCACTGGTACAGGCACAGGCAAACAGGGTCTGACAAGCACTAAACTTCAGGTCAGATTTGGACAATTGCTGCTTTAACAACTAAAAGAAAGAGCAGAAGTATGAGGGACTGCATATTGCAGACAGTTTTTATCTTCTTTTGAAACCTGTGAAAACTAGCTAATTTCAGGGGTTCATAACAGGTGGGGGGAGGAGTTGAGGTATAAGGGCAGATTTCAAGAGGATGAATATTCAGAGAGTATATAAAATTCCAAAATGGCTATTCTTTACAATTGATTTTATGAGGGTTTTAATGTCTATTTTCCAATCTTTTGGAGCAGTGGAAGCAGAAGGTATGGGCGGCATGTGACAGAGACTTGTTATGGAGGACAGGCAATGTAAATCCCATCTCCAGTAAAATTAAATGAGAAACCAAATAGGTGAGTTACAGTGAAGGTGAAAGACATCATTAAGAAAACTTTTAAAACACAGCAGCCCTCGAATATTTACTCTGGAGGTGCAACACTTTGCACACACACAAACGTTCTGACAGGGAAATAAATGGCTTGTAGCAGCCCTCGAATATTTACTCTGGAGGTGTAACACTTTGCACACACACAAACTGCATGCATCTTCCACAGTTTCACATCAATAACTGAACATTCTTGCCAGACAATGTTTACCTGATTGGGATGTAAATAAAATTCTGTAATGAATATTTATACAGTACATTATTACTCTAAAGTGCAAATGAAACATTAATTGGCTTTACTCACTTTCCTCTCCATACACACAAACGCCATAATTTAATACCAAGTGTTTGTAAGAAAGCTGACTCATCATGCTTGCTGCCTCAAAGAAAGACTACAAGAGAACAGGAACAACAATTAGTGAAGAGAACCCTGATGGGAACTGACTGGAATTAAATCTCATTAAAACCCACCTCTATTTTCACACAACTTCCTCTCCCAATCCTCCACAACAACACTACCTGATTGTGTACCATCAGTCTCTGCAGGCCCTTCTGAATTATTTTGGTTACAATGCATAAACCACTCTGATAATAAATCTAACCAACACTGGCAGTAGGAAAATCCCTAAGGAGCACAAACAGACTCTTTACACTTAAGTGCAAAAGAAAGGGCTGTTTTCAATGCACAGTTCCACAGCAATGGCAGTAATTCACAAATGAATTACTGGTCTAGCTGCTCTAACACTGAGTTACAACATTTAATCTGAATACTCAAGATGCCCCTCCCCCCCGACTCCTTGAAGCCTAAGTATGACACCAAGTATGACATTTGCCTGGGTCAGGAAGGCATTCTCCCACTGCTGGGCCCTTCCATCTGTCCATGCTTCTGGGCTGGTGGTAGAACAGTGAGGGGAGGGGTGGAAATGACATTGTGCTGGGGAAAACCTGGACATGTCAGCCAACACTCTGGAAATTCTATGGTAATAGATATAAATTGAAGAAAATAAAATAAAATAAAAGGTAAAGTTATGGCTGCAACTCTATGCAGGCTTACCTGGGAGTAAGGCCCACTGAACACAATGAGAGTTACTTTTGAGTGGGCATGCACAAGATTGGTCCAGATCCCTGCTTTGAAAGGCACTGGATGACCAGTCCTTTGATCTAGGCCTAATTTACCTCCCAACTAACATGCCTTATAAATGAAGGAGGAGAAAACACTGCCCTGATTCTCCTTGGAAGAAGGATACAATAAGAATGTAATGTATTCCCTGACCATCACCCATTAAGGCACTGATCAGACCCTGTTTAGCTTCTGTAAGGTTGCTTCATCATGTGTTTTCAGACCATCCCCTGTGCCGTATAGTAGCATAGTTGCTGTATGCATTGTGGCGGAGTTCTTGTAGCGTTAATTAGTGGCATGACAAAATTCACCAGATGAACCTCTCCTCAAAAACCCAATATGTTGGATTTCAGTATGTCAAGTTGTGCGGGATGCACGCAGCTAACAGAAATATTTAAGTGATCAAGCAGGGATATTATCAGGGGTTGTTGTGACAAGCTAGGCTGGACAGCATTGTAAAAAGAATGTTGTGAAAGTCAAGTGCTACAAAATGAAGCCTATACATATGGTGGGTAGGTGTGAGGAAAATGAGGGATGTTGATAGATGTGGTGTGTGCGTGTAAAATTGTCATAAGATCTAGAGACCCACAATGTTAAAAATGAAAGGCAAGATACTCTACTCACTGAAGTGCATACTTGTATGTGGTTTGTGAGACACCATGCACTCTCAAATAATTAAGTTCATAATCCATAGAGTTCTCTAAATCAGACACCAACCTCAGAGGACTTCAGTTTCATGCACCTTGCCATAGTCTCCCTCTTCTTTCCTCACACCTTTGAAAATCTTGGTGAATGTACCCTGCCCAAGGCTTTCATTCTAACAGAAAACAGCATGGGGAAAAAAGTATGAGGAGGGAGGAGTTAGTTAACTGTAAAAACCTATGAACTGTCAACTGAAGGTATTAAGCATGTTAAAGAACAAAGCCTGCTGAGAGAAAATCAGCATGGCTTCCACAAAGGGAAATCCTGCCTCAGCAGCTGAGTTCTTTGAGCAGGTTAACAAGCATGCGGATAAGGGATATCAGGTAGACATTGTGTATTTGGGACTTCCAAAAGGTTTGTGACAAGTTACCTCACACCAAGGACTCCTAAGTAACCTTAGCAGTGATGCAATCACAGGACAGGTAGTCTTAGAGATTAAAAATTGGTTCAACGACAGAAAGCACAGTGTAGCAATAAACGTATACAAGAACGCACATGAACTTGCCTTACACTGAATCAAGCCATTGGTCCATCAAAGTCAATACTGTCTACTCTGATTGGCAATGACTCTCCTGGGTCTTAGGAAGAGGTTTTTCACGTTAACTACTACCTTGTAATTTCAACTGGATATGTACCCAAAGTAGCTGCTCTACCATTGAGCCACAGTTCCTCCCCAGGTCTCACAACAGAGGGAAATGAGCAGCAGGGTCCCACAAGGACTGGTATTGGGACCACTGCTATTTAATTTATTCATAAAAGGCATGGAATTGGGGATAAGAAGAGTAATGGCCAAGTTTGCAGATGATACTAAATTAGGATGGTGAAAACCAAAGTGGGTTGTGAAAAGCTATAGGAAAATCGATCGAATTGGGTGAGTGGGCAACAACATGGCAAACAAGTTCAGTGTTGGAAAGTGTAAGGTGATTTTATTTATTTATTTGTTTAAAACATTTATCAGCCACCTTTCTACCTGGCAGAAACACAACAACAAAACACAATAAAATACATAAAATGCATAAAACCACTAATTTAAAATAAATAACTTGAAACTGAGGGTAGGCAGAAGAACTAAAATTAATTGAATGCTATCCAGAATATCATCGTCTTCAGCTGCCTCCTAAAGGTCAAGGGCTCAGGTGCACCTCCTTGGGGAGATTGTTCCATAATTGAGGGGCTACCAATGAAAAGGCCTTCTCATGTACCCACCAGGTGAGCTTCTCTGGTTGATGGGACAGTCAAGAGGGCTTCTCCTTGTGATCTTAATTCCCAGGTAGGAATGTATGGAAGAAGATGGTCCCTTCAGATACCCCGGTCCCAAGCCATGTAGGGCTTTAAAGGTCAAAACCAACACCTTGAATTGGGCATGGAAGCGGATCAGTAGCCAATGTAATTGCTGTACTATTGGGGTCACATGCTCCCGATAACTGGCCCCAACCAGCTGTATAGGCACAGCATTCTGCACTAGCTGCAGCTTCTGAACACTCTTCAAGGGTAGCCCTCAAGCAGTGTGCACTGCAGTAGTCTAGGCTAGATGTAAATAAGACATGGATCACTGTGGCTACATCAGACTGAACCAGGAATGGGTGCAGATAGTGTACCAGCCAATGCTGGGCAAAAGCTCTCAGAACCATAGCAGCGACCTGATTTTCTAAGGTGACTGTTGTGTCAAGCAGGATTCTCAAACTGCGAACCTGGCTTTTCAAAGGGAGTATAACCCCATATAAGATATGGGAGTTTCAAGTCCCCAGTCTGCCTTTCTACTAACCCAGAGAACCTCTGCTTTGCCAGGATTGAGTTTCAGCTTGGTCACCCTCATCCAGCCCATTACTGACTCCAAGCACTGGTTGACAACATCAATAGCTTCCTTGGAATTAGGTGGAAAAGAAATGTAGAGCTGGGTTTCATTCGCATACTGGTGGCATTGCAGCCCGAACTTTCTGATTACTTCTCCCAATGGCTTCATGTAAATATTAAATAGCATGGCAGATAAGATCAAGCCCTGTGGAACACTATAGGCCATGGGGCAGAGCAGGAATCCCCTGGCACCAAATTCTGGGACTGACCTCCATAACAGCCTCAAGTCTCAGAAAGAAAGGTGAACTATAAATAACCAAAATAAATAAATAAAACTAAAAAGAAAGCCAAGGAGGGACACATGACAGAGATTTATACAATTATGCATGAGTGTAGAGAGTGTAGAAAATGGATAGAGAAAGCTCTTTATCCTTCAACCAAAATATTAGAACTCAGGGGCACCTAATGAAGTTGCTGGACAATAGGTACAAGACAGATTTTTTTAAAAGTATTTTTTACAGTAAACTGTGGGATTCACTGCCAGTGCAGGTCATGGCCATGAACACAGATGACTTAAAAAGGGGGTTACAACAGACTCATGGAGGATAGGTCTATCAGTGGCTATTAGCCATGGTGACCTCCATATTCAGAGGCAGCAGTGGCTCAAGTGGTTAAGATGCTGAACTGCAGGCTGTGGAAGGTCAGTAGTTCAGCAGTTTGAGACCCGGGTGCCGCATGATGGAGTGAGCTCCCATCTCTAGTTCCAGCTCCTGCCAACCTAGCAGTTCGAAAGCAAGAAATTGCAAGTAGATAAATAGGTACCACTTCGGTGGGAAGGTAACAGTGTTCCGTGCGCCTTGGTGTTTAGTCATGCCGGCCACATGACCACGGAAATGTCTTCGGACAGCGCTGGCTCTTCAGCTTTGAAACGGAGATGAGCACCGCAACCCTAGAGTCGGATTCGACTGGCTTTCGAGCAAGGGAACCTTTACCTTTACCTAAACCGTCAAAACCCAGGCTAGAAGGCAACATCAGGAAAGGCTTTGGCCTCTGTGCTCTGTTTTTTGGCCTTCCGAAAGAAGTGGTTGACTACTATGTGGAACAATAGAATACTGGACTAGATAGACCACTGGTCTGACCAGCAGAGTCATTACATTCTTACATTTTAAAACTAATTGGTGTAAGTCAGGCTCAGGAGTAGCATCAATTGAAGTTTCTAGTCCCCAGGTCCTGGTGGGGGTTTCCCCAGTTTTTAGGGTTTCAGCCCACTGACAGCCAGGTGGCTGGTGGGGGAAACTCCACCCCCAAAGGCAACATCAGGAAAGGCTTTGGCCTCTGTGCTCTGTTTTTTGGCCTTCCGAAAGAAGTGGTTGACTACTATGTGGAACAATAGAATACTGGACTAGATAGACCACTGGTCTGACCAGCAGAGTCATTACATTCTTACATTTTAAAACTAATCGGTGTAAGTCAGGCTCAGGAGTAGCATCAATTGAAGACAGAGGGTTGCCAGTCCCCAGATCCTGGTGGGGGTTTCCCCGGTTTTCAGGGTTTCAGCCCACTGACAGCCAGGTGGCTGGTGGGGGAAACTCCACCCCCAAACAGCCACGTCCCCATGTGACATTCCCGGTGCAATGACATCACCTCGAAGTGCTGTAAACACGTTGGGGACACTGCATGGGCGCTCTGGTTTGAGGGCAAGACTCTATGGTAAATTTGGCCTAAAACCACAGAGTTTTGCCCTCAAACCAGAGTGTCACTATGCGACATCACAGACACGATGATGTCACTTCCAGGTAATGTCATAATGTTGGGAACGTCACGGAATGCCCTCCAAATACCCATGCCAACACGGTGAGGGGACCTGGCAACCCTAATTGAAGAACCATCCTTAAATACTGCCAAAATGAACTCCAGAGGTCCTCAGTGCTTGCACACACCACAGGAGAAGCTTAAAGTTTGGTTGTTCTTACTCCTACAGATCTGTGAATGGGATTGCTCACCTTCCCTGTTTGAGAGGGAAAAGTAGATGCTGCTGTGAGCTACTAGAGCATATGATAAATAGCTTCTTCACAAACACGGCTGAAATCAGATGAACAAAGGACACAAACATATGCAGTCACATGGGAGTAAGCACCACTGAACTCAACAAAATGCAGAGAGAAGTCAAAGCCCAATTGTATGCATGTTTGCTCCCACTACATTTGGGGGGGGGGGGAATCATAACACCCTGATCTTCAAGAATTTATGGGTGGAAGGTAGCTACAAACATGGACGGCTTCAAGAGGGAATTAGATAAACATATGGAGCAGAGGTCCATCAGTGGCTATTAGCCACAAGGTATAGATAGGAACTCTCAATCTGGAAACAAGTGATGCACTGTATTCTTGGTGCTTGGGGGGGGGCAACAGTGGGAGGGCTTCTAGTGTCCTGGCCCCACTGGTGGATCTCCTGATGGCACCTGGTATTTCTGGCCACTGTGGGATACAGAGTGTTGAACTGGATGGGCCTTTGGCCTGATCCAACATTGGCTTCTCTTATGTTCTTATGTACAGATACATTTCTCAATGTATAATTAAAGGATACACTTGCACTCTGTGTTCAAGTCCCTTAGGCTGCATACACACTTAGCAAATGAAAAGCTTTCTATATGAACTATGTTCTTGTGCCTGTTTGTGCATTCTTGAGAAATATTATCATTGCATTTAATGATGGGATTTAATCCCAGGTAACTGTATTTAGTTATCATCTGGGTGTTACACAGACAAGCATTCAATTCCAAAGAACTTACAAATATTAAGTCTTCATTGGAGATTTTGTGAAAGACCATCTGACTGATGTTATTGTGCCTCTGCAAGGTGGGAGACGTGGGTATATCAGACATTGCATTGCTTCTGAATACTAGGAGGTTGGATTTATCTGTTGAGAAGAAGCCAGAGGGCATATGATTCACAGTAAAACATGCAAATGATCGCCTCAACAAGTATTCCTGGAACTGACACTGGCTTAGATCCTAAGTGTAGCATCTGCATGTTAAGGCTAAGAGCCAGGACAGAAGGAAAAGATCAGGCACAACTCCACATAATCTCACCATAATCACAAAGACAGCCTCAAAGAATCAAGTCTCTCCCTTTGTCTAGCCCCAGGACCAATGTTCCCTCTAAGCTGTGGAGTTTTGTGAGCAAAAAATCTACTTTGTCAGCTGCCGGCATTAAAGTTGTGAGCGAGCGATTTGGCTGCTGCATAAATTAGTTTGCTCTGGAGCCATCCTTCCTGAGCGAAGACAAAAATGTGTGAGCCAGAGGCTAAAAAACTGTGAGCTAGCTCACACTGACTCAGCTTAGAGGGAACACTGCCCAGGACTAATAACAATCAGAGGATACCAAAGACCTGGAAACTCCCTTCTTTTCACCCTTGACCAATCACAAAGCATACCAGTTAGCACCCCTAGATTTCCCTCCCTTCTCTGGCTCAGGGGTCAGGGCACATACTAAAACCAGGCAAATTACAGAAAATCAAGTTCTAAGTAACAGAATAAGGTCAACCGTAAAATAATTTTAAACATTTGAGTAATGTTTCACTAAGGAGGTCCTTTACCTTTTGGCTTTGGTGGACAGCATCTGGTAAACTGGAAAATTATGCTGTCTGATCGTACAGTTTCTGTCCGGTAACAATTCAACAAATCCGGAAGGTTTGTAAAGCTTCTTCTTGTACCAGTGAGATTATACTCACCACTTTCACTTTTGGTTATTAAACAATGTTTGTAATCAGTGATGCTGTCCCGCTGTAGAATTGGATGCAGGGGAAATACATTTTTTAAACAATACTTTCTTCATGCTCTATCAAAGTGGCACCTTTAAGACCAACAAAATTTTATTCAAGGTATACCATTTTATTCAAGATATACCATTTTATTCAAAGTATACCATGAATAAGGTGTACCATGAATAAAATTTTGTTGGTCTTAAAGGTGCCACTGGACTCAAAACTTTGTTCTGCATTTTTCATTAGATGTATTATGCTGTATGGCTGCATTTTTAAAAAATTCTGTAATCTGCCTCAAGTCTTAGAAAGGTGGGATATAAATAAACAAATAAAATCAAGGATGTTAAACAGTAGCTAATTCACATTAACTGATTTTCAGATATGTACCCAGATCATTATCATTGTTGAATACTTAAACAGGGAACTCCTAATCAAATGGAAGTCAAGGGTAATGAAACTCTAGTTCAAGCTTTTTACTTCTTGACATCAAAAGTCCGGATTACTACAGAATAATCTCACAAAATGACAGACTGGGCACTCGGGTAACCAAATTTTGCAAGGAACATCAACTGCTTCTATAATAATACTCTGTGTGACAATGATTTGAAATAAGAGTAATCATGAACATTAGTCTGCCCTTGAACTAATCCTAAAAACAAGTTCATCTGAAGACTTTAAAGTTTTAAAGACACAAAGTAAATTTTCAAACTTTTCTAGTCTACTTCATTTGTAAACTCTAAACTAGGCATCATTTGTAAGATCTAATATTTTATATTGTTTTATGGTTCAAATTTAGCCTTTTCCCAATTTTGCCAGTTTGCAAGAATAACTGAGTTCTTGTAAATAGTACTTCTTTCATCTACAATTTATCTTCTGCTAGATTTAAGATCCAAGAACTGAGCTTGCTAAATTACAGTACTAACACAACTCATGTGATCACTACAGTAAATCACCTTAAGAGGAAATTAGACCATGTTGCAAAACAGTTCAAAGAAAATGAGCTGGGTTGCACTTTGACACAGCATGCTCAGTTCTTGCAGAGTCTGAACAGCCAACCACATTGTCTAGGGATGTCAATAAAGTGAAATTGATCAAAACAATGGCAAAATCATGAGATTACGTTTCAAAGCAGGAGAGGGCTATCAGGAATCTCCCATTCAAATCTGAAACTACAAATATGTTGTTCACATATGTTTTATGTTATGAATTATGCACATGTTTCTTTTAAAAAAATAGAGGAAGCTGATTATATTTTGAAGTAATCTGAAGTAAAATTCAGAAAAGTCAAAGGAGTTGAATTCTGGATCTTCAATACTAACCTGCACAGCAAAGGTCAGAAAGTATTTCTTAAACTCTTTTGGACTGCAACGAAGAACGTAATACCCAGTCTGACTGCTGGCTTTCTTCAGTTTATTGATTGCAAAGTCCATCCTGTTTTTTTAAGAATAAAAGAAGGAACTTTTTCCCCTGAAAAGTTAGCAAGCTTTGAACTTCAGCCTGAACCCAGAGATTTTAATGCCCAATCAAGAGTTTTTTAAAACACAGTGTAACTACTTAATATTGCTTACAAATTACAGCATCTGTTCACCTTTCTCTGGTCTCCTTTTGACAAAATGAATGAAAAAGTTCTGCCAGTTCTGAAGGGGAATGATGACAGCTCAGTTACAGAATACTAGCATGCAGAAGTTCTCTGTTTCAGTCCCTGGAATCTCCAGTTAAAGTGTCACAAGGCAGCAGGGTTACAAAAGCCCCTCTGTACTTTGGAGACCTTATGTCACAAAAGTCATCAGGGCCAATTTTCTGATTCGATATAAAGCCGATACAGTAAATGCTTTCTTATCCTTCACTCATGGGGAATGCTGAAGGGGGGGTCCGCTGGTTAAACAAACGTTCTGAATACTCATGTTTACTGCTCTGCTGTGCCCCAGCCTGGAGGAATCAGCAGCAACCAAGCCCCGCCCTCGCTGGGAATGCCATAGCAACAGCCCACATGCCAGGTGGGATGATTCTCCCCCAAGCCACAGAAAGGTCCTATGCTGCAGGCAGACAAAAGGGCCAGTAGCCCAGGAACTCTCCTGCAGAGATGGCTCCTAACAGTTTGAGGCAGGCTGAAGAGAAAGAGGCACCCAAGGATGACATAAGGCTGTAGTGCCAACTGTCAGAAGCCCAGCAACAGCCTGATGCAGCAATCTGCCCAACTGGAGAGGTGGGGATGAGGTGTGCATGCCTGAAGACATGGGGATATGGCAGCTGAGGAGGAGGAGCTTGCTGTCTAGGCAGTACCAGTTAACTGAGCATTCTGCATCATCAAGTGCTGGACAACAAAGCATTTACTGTATATAGATTCATATAACTTCGGCTGTGAATACTGCCAACTACTGCTCTTGTATAAGGAAAAAGGGAAATGTTGACATGGCATATTCCTGTTAAAAGAAACTGACATGGCAACTGGCAAAGTTAAGTTTATTTTTGTCCCCTTTTAATATGTTTTCATTGAGAACATGCATTTTATTGAGGAAATATATGAGTCATACTAGAAATAGTCTGGTTATAATAAAACATAACATTATACTTTAAACAAATTGATAGAGTCATTACTCTGAGGTCATCTATCCCCTGCATAGGTCTAACACAAGCCAGGTGAGTTACTGCCATCTGAATCTACCTCTAGGATGCATAAAAGCAGTATCAGCCTCCCAGAATGGGCTTTACGGGTATTGGCTACACCTCAGACTGTACCCTTCGAAGGGTACCCTTTTCCAAACGCAGCCTCAGCAGAAAAAGGTGAATTCTACCCTCTGGACTTCTCAAGAAGCTCCTATGAAGGTTAGGAAGGTATAATGTTTTTTTTCCCTGGATTATCCATATCTGCCTTAATCAAAGTGCACCAAACATTTAATTCTTCAGAGCAAAAACAATAGTATACAAGAGGATATATAAAGACAGCCTGAAATAACTTTTCTGTAGAGACTTTGGGGGGGGAGCAATTTGTACCAAAAGCAATTTCCTTTGATAGCAATTTTCTGTGCTCCCCACAATCATTTAAGATACTGATATCTGAATTGCCTTTTCTTTCTCCACAACTTAAAATTCTATTTTTGCCAGACCCTGCAGTGAACTCATTAAGAAGTCCTCTGCTTATGACATCACACACTATCACCATGGTTATGGCTGGGAGTTCTTAAGTTCATTATCTGTTCACTGCATGCCAGATTCAGAAGTGAACAGTGAATAGAATAAAATGTCTTTAGCTATATTTTAAGTTTTGTAGGCTGAAATCAAGCAAACAAATCTAAGATACTAATCAACACCTATCCATGCGTTCCTGTCAAGATTTTCACAGAATTTTTAGAGGATAATATGTACTGAATGTCAGTGGTCCTGACCAATGTTCACTCTAAGCTGTGGAGTCCTGTGAGCAAAAATTCTATTTTGTGAGCTACTGGCATTAAAGTTGTGAGCGAGCGATTTGGCTACTGCTTAAATTAGTTTGCTCTGGAGCCATCGTTCCTGAGCTAAGACAAAAATGTGTGAGACGGAGGCTAAAAAACCTGTGAGCTAGCTCACACTAACTCAGCTTAGAGGGAACACTGGTCCTGAACCAGCTTCAGGAACAGACAATTAGTCCCGTGTAGCAACTGGAGGCCTCCCAAATGCACCAAAGCACCTCTGCCAATTCAACAGAACCGAAAATGAGAATCTTGATACGGCTAGAGTATGCAGTCAGGTTTACATTGGTACTGGCGATACATGTGAAAGACTATTTGCTCAACACTTATTATATTTGCTGGATTGGGACAACCATCTCTCAAGAAAGGGGAACATTTTTTTAATGATAAGGCTGGCTTCAAGGATTGCCATGCTAAAGCAGCTGCTGTAGACTGTGGCCTGGCAAATGCAGCACTGTTGAACTATCCACTACTCTTGCAGGGTTACACGAAGCTGGAGAGCACACAGATCCCCCCGCCCCAACACACTTCTTTTACTTTTGTTACCATCAACAGGGCTTACAGGATAGCAAAGAAGAGTCATGTTCCCTTCTGTTCAGCTTCTCAGAAAGGCACCTCTAACAGCAACCAGCAACACCATCATCCCACAAGGCCCTCAGAGACAACTTGGAGAGGCAACACAGTGTGAAGTAGCTCCCTCACATGCCCCAACCTTCCACCTTCTGCCATGTTAGCCTACACTGGGGGGAGCTCCTCCGAGCCTCAAAACAGGAGAGAGAGGAGGCTGCAGAACTTTCACCCTCTTCTCTTCCTTGGACAGCTATCTCCCAGCATTAATTTCTGCCCACACCTTTTCTTCCCTGGCTTGTCCCTGGAGCTTCCCTTATGAAGGGTGCCTGACCCATCCCTCTTTTCCCTAGGTCCAATCCCAGCCATGTTCATCAATCTGGAGCTATGGGTGGGGCATTTGCCAACCCCTTCCTGACTGCTACCTGCTTCTTAAAGCCCTCCCCTCAACCTCTAGCTTCACTCCACAGCTCATCCTGTCCTGACCCTGTCCCTGGCCTCTTGTTTGTGTCGTCGCTGTTGCTAGGTCCACTGTCAAGGCTGTTGTCCTCCCTGGGGGTGGTGTCCACTTCTCTGGCAGTCTCGGGGCCTGCTGGGGCCTGCTCCTGGTTGGCTTAGGTGTCATTAGGTCATCGACAGCTGATGACATCATTGAGCTTGTCAGGATGAACCCAGGCTGACTCCTGCCCTTGGCAGCTACTGGCCCCTCCCGGCTTGGCTCCCTTTACAGTAGCTGAACTGGCAGTGCTCTCCCGGCTTGGCTCCCTTTACAGTAGCTGGCCCCTCCCAGCCTCATGTGGGCGCCTGAATATAGTGTACAGGCCTGCCATGGCCACTAGGGTTTAGGCGAGTCCAGGCCAGGCATTGGCTCCAATCACAGTGGTGCAGCTGGGTGAAGCAGAGCATGAGGAACCACAGAGCGCAAAAGGATCATGCTCTGTACCATCCAGCTGAAGGGAACAGAATAGGACACCTCTGTACTCCAGTATCCCACTGGCACGCCACTATCCCCCTGCTGGAGGAAAAGGGGTGTGTTTGTGTACGTAGGCAGAAATGGTCATCTTGGCAAGGGCCCCCCAAAACTCACAGCTGCCCTGATCAAAGTTCTCACAGTTTTGTAAAATGTAAGAAGCATGTACCACTTACGAAACTGGCCCATGGCAATTGCTCTGGATATTTTCAAGCACTGAAGGAGGTGCTACTTCTTTACAGAGGTAATGATGGGCATCTGCAGTTAATCTATAATAGCCATCAATTAACGACACAAAAGAAAGAGCTTCTCTTAGTGAATGAAACTCTGCTTCCTGAAAAGATAAAGGAAAGGGACAAAATTATATGTATTTCATAAAAACGCTCCTCTTGCATGCCCCACCAGTTACAGAACAATCGTTATTCCAACTCCTACATACTGATCACAGAAATGAGTAATCAATGCAAATACATGGCAATAGCTGTCAACTGTGTTTTGCGAGGGGATTAAGCTCTATTTTACTTCAGAAAAGCTGTAATACTTTCATTTGAGGCAATGGAAAGCAGTTATTTTGGAAAGATTAAATGTACCTTCAACACAGCCAGATTGCCTATGTTCTCAACATTACGAACTCTATGTATGATAGTGCACACAGTTATATAGCACATATTAGGTGCTTTTATGCATGTGGCTTTTGAAGCATAGCAACATAAAAAAACAGTGTTATGTAAGATGCATTGCATAACAAAGATAGTATGTAGTTACAAGTGTGCAAAACTCACAATGTGGCATCAAAAAGTAACTAATTAAATCCAAAATAAAAAGTAAACTATAAAGAGTAGCTTTGTCAAAAAAAAAGTTCATCAAAACACAAACCCTTATCTGTAGGCATCCCCCCATCCCCCCCACAATTGTATGCTAATTAAGACTCTGTAAATCTAAAAGGCAGTGGACAAAGGATTATTTGAGGTCTAAAGGTCAAACAATGCAATTATAACTGGTGAAGGGTCCTAAAAAAATGTGTTCTGCTTTAAGGTGCTTCTTCTAACTCAAGATCAGCTGTCACAGATTTGCCCACACACCACAGTACAGGATGAAGTAAATCCTGGATTCCAGTCTGCTTCTTCGGAGACTGGAAAAATTATTTTTCTGGAGCATGAAAACACTGTTAGCTCTTAGCCACTTCCATAAGGGTTTTGTGGTCATCACCATTATTGAATTAATACTTCCAGCCACTTCGAGGCACGCTGTCCTAACCCAATTTGTGGGCAGAGAAGCCAAGCCTTAGCCATAACGTGGGAGAGATTTGTTCTGGTTTCTGCTCTGCCTCTTGAACCATTCATCAGATGTTCAATGGTACATAACAGCTTTCTGATGAGTTTTTAAAATGTTTCTTTTCCTATCCCTCAAATTTTACAAAAAGAATGTATGGGTGAGTTTGCACATTAATTTTTAGGGAAAATTT